ATTCCTACCTCTTTTTGTTGCATCTGGATCTGAATGGGAGCACAAAGCAAGGTGTTCATTCCTATTGAGAAAAAAAGAAAACATTATAGTCAGAAAAAATATATTATTAACAGCAGACATATTTTCCTTTTCTTAGCTCCTTCATTAGTGACAAGTATTTATCAATTATAAGCTCTTCATAAAGACTTATAAATTAAATTTCATTATAACTTTTATCTTTTTTTATGGCAGTGCTATAAACTGAAGGTTTCATATATGCTAGGCAAGTGCTCTACTATTGAGTTACACTTGTGGCTCCTAATTGTTTTCTTTTTTGACAAATACAGAATTATTGTATTCTTTGAACAAAATGTTTTTAGAATGTGGTGATGACTTTACTAAAAGGTGGAAAACTTAAAACTATTACTTTACTTCTCTGTTAAAAGAAATAGATTACTGAGAAAGGGTAAGATTTGAAGGGTCTTTTATTCAATGTTAAGGCATTGAAATGTTCTCATGACAGATATCCATTTGATAAAAGAAATTTATTATAAAATACAACACATTTTATAAAATATACATTTTAGAAAAGTAACAAAAAATATAAGGAAGAGTCAAGAGAAAATGAATCACTGAGAAAACTACTGCAAATAATTCAGATGTAACAAGTAAGTGTTTATGTTAGGGTAAAAGTGAAAATGGGAAAGAAAAATTAGATTCAAGACATTTAGAACTGAAATATAAAGATTTAGGTATCAAACTGGACTCTGGAAATAAATACTGAAAAAGTTGTTATACTACACTAAAAAATACATTTATGCATCATGTATGTTTATGGAAACCTTTAGTGCATATGATGGAGTAATTATAGGCCTTTTAGTAAAAGCCTTATTTCTATCAGGACTCCATTCATTTATTCAACAATTATTGATTTAGACCTACCATGTGCAAAAAAACTCTCAATTATCTGTAAGGCACAAAGGAGAACAAGAAAAAATGTCTATACTTGAAGAGCTAGTAGTTTTTTTTTTTTTCTAAGTATGTTTTTAGTTATTGATGGACCTTTATATTTTTTATTTATTTATATGTAGTGTTGAGAATTGAACCCAGTGCCTCACACATGCTAGGTAAGTGCTCTACCACTGAGCTACAATCCCAGCCCAAAGAGCTAGTAGTTTAATATCTTAAAATCCACGATAAATACCTAAAATACAATGTGATAAATTCTAAAAAGGACTGAAAAATAAAAGCAGAGAACTTAGTGGCTCACGCCATGATTTTGTTAAAAAAGGCTTGATTTGAACCAGTACTACTGGAAATATAGTGCCAGTCTATGAACTGCTTATTACCAATTCATGATGAGATAAGGAGCTTACAGCAAATGCAAGCCATATTAGAATTCCTTCATCAAGAAGGTCCTACAGGTAGACATAGTGGCCCATGCCTGTAAACCCAGGGTTCAGGAGGTTGAGGCAGGAGGATCCCAAGTTCAAAGCCAATCTCAGTAACTAGTGAAGCCCTAAACAACTTAGGGAGACCTTATCTCAAAATAAAAAAATAAAAAGGACTGGGGATGTGGCTCAGTGGTTAAGCAACCTTGGGTCAATCCCTGGTACAAAAAAGCCTTACTAAGAAAAAAATGTTTAGCTGAACAGTGACTTAATACCACATATAATTTACATTGTGGTACAAATTCCTTTTCTGTTGTAGACAATTTGTAGACTGGCTACTTTGAATATCACTGAGGTTAAGCTATGTGAAAAGCTAAGTGAAAAATTAAGAAGACTGATAGGTAAATCAGAGTAGGAATAGCACTTAGA